TCCGGACTCTGGGCCGGACCTCCGGTTCCCTCTCGCCGCGTCTGAGCGCCAACTTCGCCAAGAACGCTCCCAACTCCAGGCCACCCTGCCGGGCAGAGAGGGCGCTGCTGCCGGGCACCAGTCGCGAGGACGCGCCGCTGGCTCTGGGGAGGAAGCCACCATCTGCGGGGTCACTCGGGCGCCCCTGAGTGGGCGGCAGCGGCAGCAGCAGACTTCTCTCCCGGGATTCCGGGACCTGCCAGCGCTGGGGATTCCTCCGGGGCAGGCGCTCGCCCTCTCTTTTATGGTGAGTATTTTCCATCCCCTGGTGAGGGGCGCGCGGGGGTCGGGAGCTGAAATCCAGCAGCTCTTCCTACGGGCCGGCACTCATCACAGTCAGCGCTCCAGATGTCGGTCTTGCTCCTGTCCCCGGGAATTTCTTTCGGCGGATTGTGGCAGTCCAAGGCGGTTGGTATGCGCGCAGCCCTGGAACGTTGGGGGCCCTCCTAGAGCGGTGGGTTCCAAGTCCGCTGCTTCTCTGTGTACTGGAGACAGCACACACACACACACACACACACACACACACAGCCTCCAAAATTACCCTGCATGGGTATGGGTCCAATATCCGTCATTCACTGGCTGGGTGACCTTGGGCAAGGCGTCAGACCTCGCTTTTCTCATCCATAAGATGGGGATGAGAATTGTGCCAGTTTTCGAAGGGTACTGGAGGATCTGAGGCATGGTATGGAAACCGGTTCCGACACAGGGGAAGCTCTCAATCATACGTTAGCTTGCATTAGTATTAGTTGTGCGAGTCCCTGCATGTCATCCAACTTTCCAGAGCTGCTCTCTAGTCTGTGTAATGGGGACAACACTTCCTGGGCGGGCTGAGAGGAGAAATGTGTTAGTCCGGAGATTCGGAGCAGTGAAAGTAAAGCGCCTGGCACCGAGTAGGCACTAGTGAAGTGGTGGCTGTTGTCACGGTTTATTCCTGACGCTGGGACATGGAGGCTGATCGCCTAGCCGGAGAGCTACTTGGGGCCAGTTCCCGGCCTTGCTTGGATACAAACTTGGCTTTGCTTAGGAAGGGAGGGGATAGGGGCTCAGGGAAGGGGAGAGGAGGCCAGAGCCTCAAGAGCGCGGCAAATGTGTCCGCCCTGGTCGCGCTGGACGCGCCACCGGCTCCGAGCCAGGAGAGGACACCCAGCCCCAGACCTCTGACTGGCTGGAGAAGCTGGAGGAGTGGCTGCTCCCGCTGCCCCATGGCCAAGCGCGGGCTGCTGCCGACAGGAAGGGAGAAGAGGACACTTTGGTACCTCTGTCTTGAGGAGATGGGAAACTCTGGGTTCTGGAGCCGGGTTTGCATTCAAATTCTGCCTCCACCACCAGCCTGCAGTGTGACCTTGAACAAATTATCTAACCTTTCCCAGCTCTTTGGCACTCTGCCCTCCTCCGGAGTCCGGGGTGAAGATAGGAGTTCCCCTCTCCTTAGGAATCTGAGCCCCCTATCCACCTACTCACTTTCTCCCCCCCCCCAATTTGATGAGCCTAAATCTGGAAAATGTGAAATGACTCAGGGGAAGGCTATTAAAATGATTCACAATTTGCCCACCCCGGCCCTGTGGGAAGAGATCATAGCATTAGAGATAGTTCATCTTCTCTGTTCCACCTTGGCACCTCTGTCCTCCAGCTAAACTCTGCAGCTTCCATGCCCCCGGGCTGATAGGAGCTCCCCCAAATCCTTCTCTCAAATCTCTCCCCCCCAAACCTTTATTATTTATTTATTTTTTAGATTAAAGACTTGATTCTTTTTTTTCCTTCATTATTTTTTGAAAGCTGCAGATACAATGAGTTTGCAGAAAAACAAAGTGTCAAAAACATGTCAGGAACATGCTTTACCTAAGGCCACATTCCTCTGAGACAATTACCTTCTGATTCCCTCCTTAAAACTTCCTTAAAATGGTAATAAAATGAATTTAAGCCACCTTGGGGGTGGGGGCGAATGGCAAACAAAATCCAACTTAGCAGCCATTTCACTCAAATATCTCTTCAGTTTGTACTTCTTTTCTATTTTAAAGATGGATTAAATTCAAAGATGTAGAAATAAAATCTGAAAGGAAAAGAAATCACTATAAAGAGTCCAAAGAATTGCCACTCCTATTGCAACAGGCTCATCTCTTCTAATGTGGAGAAGTCTTCAAGTCAACAAGCACATGACCAAAGGCTTGAAGACCACAGACAATTCACACAGAGAGAAAGAAACAGAAACCAACTGTAACCTATAACAGGGTGTCCTACCTCACTGAAGAAGAAAAGTGCAGGCTAAAGCTTCATAGCTTTAATGCTTTTATAGTTTTTCCACATATCAGTTTATCAAATAGTAATAACCATTTATCAGAAGCATTCTTTTAAAAATGTAAATATACCCAATTTCTTCCTCACTTTTAGAACCTCCTCAAAGACTTTGAGTAAACTCTGGACATTCCCAGGGTCTTCCAGGTCCCCTTGTGTTCCTTTGTCCCCATTGGCCACCCCCTAACCTCCTGGCCTTCTTAGTTTTACAACAGCACTTCATGGGCTTATTCACCCTGATAGCATATTTGTCTCCTTAGCTTTTCATGGGACTGGAACTTTTTTATTATTCATGCAAATTTGTCCTAGTGGGGCTTCACTTCTAGCCCAGGCAGTGGCCAGGTCCCAGGCCAGAGCTCTGGGTTTCTTGCTCTTTTGGGAAAGAACCCAGTACAACTCACGATGTCACAGTTAATTTTTTCTAAGCTCTCTGGCCAGTTGTCACAAATCGAGGCTCTTGGAATGTCCGTCCCTTCTCTGTTAGTATAGGAACAGGGGGTCTCAGGCAGCAGCACCCCAGCTAGAATGAATCACTCGATGTGGGAATTCTTGAGGGCAGAGGGCCCTAGATCAAGGTCATCAGAAGTCTTTCCTGGTAGTCATTTTTTTAAAAAAAGCATAATGTGTGCACTTAACTTATGTGAATATGACTAAACATACTTGGCAAAAAAAGATCAATAATAAAAAATTAAAAATTCAGCAACACAGTTTAAATAAAACATGGTTCCTAAATAAGCTAACTGGGTTTTCCTGCTGCTGCTCAGAAATATGGATGTGTTCAGAGGCTGCAGGAAACAGCTATCTGGCTCTGACTTGGGGAAAGAGAGTGACACATCCCAAATCATTTATCTTGAACTTTCTGGACCTTCAAAAGACCTTCCTAGGGCAGTGTTGATTGCATGTGATTTTTTTTTTGCTTCACACATTGAGTTTAGAACTTAATCCCCACTTAAAATGTCTACTTTAATCGTGAAAAAACTTCTTGGTAAAAATGCAAGCCATACAAGAGGTGTAGAGCAGATATTCCTTCTTCAGACTGGCAAGGACTTAACACAGCCAGATGTAGCAGGTGCAGGGTGTGTGCTAGTCTGGGAGACAAATAGATTGGCTGGGCACCGCCCTGGCATCAAGACATGCAGCACATGGTCCAGGAGACATCAGCTAGAATGAGGGCACAGTGAGGTGGAGGAGTGGGACCAAGGGCTGCACACAGAATGGGTCAGGGAGAGTGAGGCATGGGAGGGTGGGAAGGCCCAGGGTGCCCAGTGTATGAAAAGAATGTGCCCTGAAGGCTCTGAGGTGGGCCCTGAAGAGAGACTGAGCATGGGAGAAATAAGCAAGTGCAGGTCTCAGGGACCCTTGAGTGCCAACCTAAGGGGTACAGTTTTAGTTTGGAGAAGCTGCCCGGAGGGCAGAACAGGCAGGTGGTAGGGTTTACCCTCTCAGCAGCATGGTGGGTTGGGAGGCAAAGATCTTCCTAGGGCAGTGTTGATTGGTCTGGATTAAGGGACAGTTGAAATCATTGAGTGAGGGAGGCGGAGAGATGGAGATCCACAGCAAAAGCAGGGGTGTGCAGAGGGGTACCTGGGACATGGGAAAGAGAAGGGGCATGGGTCAGCCTAGGATTTGTGATTCTGAGGTTCCAGTGGGTCCCCAGATGTCCCCCAGCACTAAGACACTGAGTGTATCCATGGTGGGGGTGGGGGGCTTCAGATGGAAAGAGGCCAGATGACTTTACAAGGTGGCCCGAGGAGCATGTTATCTAGGGTGACCAGAAGCTTCTAGTAGGGGAGCCTGGTGCTGAGGGAAGCAACGGCAGGAGCCCCAGCTTGGGAGTCTCTGCAGAGGCCTAGAGGTGTAAGTCCTAGGTGAATTTGCACAGAGAGAAGGGGGGCTGTGTCTGAAGATGTGACCTTGGGGGTTCACCCTTTATGGGCAGGCAGGACAGCTGCTGCTTTAAGCTCTGCATCTCCACGTGTTGGTGTGTATAGAGGGAGAGGCCAGAGCAGGGCCAGTGTCACCCACCAGGCTTGAAATGCTGTGAAATTAGGATAAACCAGAGCTCTGCCTTCTCCAGCTCAGCCCAGCTAGCTCTGCAGACACAACCACCTGTTAGCCACATTCTGGGAGAAATGCAAGTCCCAGAGGCCTGGGGCTGCAGCAGCTGCCTCCCAAATGCAGCCTCCCCACCGTGAGTCTCCCTTTCTCCCTCTTTCTATAGCTGGCATCCCAATGTCCCCCAGAGACATGCAGGCTTAATGAGGGACCTTCAGAAACACTAGCAGATCCCTATTATGGTCCCCTAGATAAACCCTGAGGCTGGAAGTGTTGTGCTTTTCTTTCAAGCATTCTGATTTCAGACAGTTGAGTTGAAGGGCAGAGTTCATCCTGGGAGATAAATAAGAAGTTAGAGGTGAGGATGGTCCTGTTCTCCTAATAGAAAATCTCTCCAGAGGGTTCCATGAAGGAGCGTCTTCCTCCTGCCCCTCTTTTCATGCTTTGCCCCAGCCTGAGCCATGCTGGACCTCACCGAGGCTGGCTGTCCTGAGGCAGCCCTCTGGGTGCTGGGGCAGCTGCATGGTGACCAGGCTTGCACGTGGCCTCACGAGCTCAGAGCTATGTGTCTTTCAAATGACCTTGCAGAGCAGGCTGGCCTGGTCCCCGCCCAGCAAGCCTCCCTCATCCCATCCCCTTCTCCTCCCAGGCTGACAGCTGAGCTTCTACCTTGGGGGCTCCTGGCTCAGTCACACACGTGGGAGGATTCCCATGGAAACCCCAGGAGGAGGGGAGGCCCGGGGAAGCCTCATTGATTCCGCTCCAGGAAGATGGGGCATGAGTCGGATCCACCTGGAACTGGACAGATGGCTGTCTTTGTGGGCGCTGGGGACGAAAGGGCTGCCCAGCCGGTCAGAGTGTGAACTCCCTGTGTGTGTGTGATGGGGAGAGGGAATGGAC